AACTTGACTTTCTAGATCGGTTGTACTTGTTTCCGCAGCAAGAACTCTTCGGGTGGAGGATTTGCGGCTGAATTGCCGTGAGTTCTCGGCTAATTCCGAGATTAAGCTTGTTGCTTGTGAAGGAGTTTTGTTAACAATGCCACCTCCACAAGCGGCATTCACCATTCTTCTATCATCATCAACAAGACCATCATAAAAGTATAAGATGAGGTCTTGTTCTGTGTATCCGTGATAGGGGCAGCTAGCACATAGCTTCTTAAAACGCTCCCAATATTCATACAAGGATTCATCATCCTTTTGCTCGATGTTGCTTATTTGCTTTTTGAGAGAAGACGAGATAGAAGCAGGATAATACCTATCAAGGAAGCATTTCTTCATTTGCGCCCATGTGTTGATACTCCCAGAAGGAAGATAGAAAAGCCAATCCTTCGCGGTGTCCTTCAAAGAGAATGGAAAGGCCCTTAGTTTGATTTGTTCTTCAGTCACACCGTTTGGACACATGCTTGTGCAAACGATGTGAAACTCTGAGAGGTGTTTGTTCGGATCCTCCCCTCTTAGGCCATGGAAGGACGGTAGCAGATGAATGAGCCCTGATTTTAGCTCAAATGTATTACCCTCGTTGAGTGTAGGGAAGGTAATACATAACGGCTGTTGATTCAAGTTCGGAGCTGTGAGCTCCCTTAACGTTCTTGTTTCGAGAGCCATAGTTGTTGGTTCTTCAGGCTCGCTAGAATAAGAGCTAGCACTTGATGAATCTCCCGAGTCGGTATTTGAGAATTTATTTTTCAACCGCTCGAGAGTTTGCTCTATTTCGGGGTTTGATTGGTAGGTGATTTCGTTCAGTGAACGATATTTTACCATATACTTCACAAAGCTCATAAATAGAAGAATAAGAACTCTTTATATTTTTATTTAATTATATTTTTTTTTAATTTTTTTTTAAAACAAAATAAAAATAAAAATAATTGCCTTTCCCCGGCAACGGCGCCAAATTTGACGTGCACTTTGTCGTGATGTGCACTCAAAGTAATAATACAATACAACACTAATACGTAGTATAGTGAAGTAAGGTTCGTATCCACAGGGAAAGGAATACTTCTCTCTTTATAAACTAGTAACAAGGGGGGGTTTTAGATTGAGTAAATGAACTTAAATTATATTTAAACACGAAGATGAACGAGTTATGTGGTTTAATTAATAAGAAGAAGACTTGGCTTTGCTTTTATCCACTTAATGAAATGTTCGTCGATCCCGGTTATATCTTTAACTATCTTCCTCTCGAATACTCAATCGAGGAGTATATCCAGTTCATCGAGGGTAGTTATTAATAACGAGACGCGTTCATTAATAAAACTTACTACCGAGTCAATATAGAACAAGCGCCGTATATTAACTTGATAGTAGCAATAAAATCAAGATGAAAACGATTGAGATTGATAACATCAACACAAGCGGTTTATTGGTTTAATCAATATAATTAATTCCCCTTGACTTATTAATCATGAGAAGCATGCATTAACAACCCAAGTTTACTACCATTGAAAGAACCGAATTAATAACAAGCGTATTAACCGATTGATTCTAGCAATAATTAATATATGAAACAAAACTAGTTGATCCTTTAAGTAATGTTCAAAATATTAATATGAAATATGAATAGGAATTAATTAATACTCAAGGAAGAATATTAAAGAAGATGAATCCTACTATAGTTAATATCAAGATGTTAACTAATTGTCATCTTAGTAACACTCCCCAATATTAATGTAGAGGAAGAAATAATTATTACTATAACTAATGTCAAGATGTTAACTAATTGTCATCTTAGTAACACTCCCCAACATTGATATAGAAATAGTATTTAAAGGAAGAATTAATATTCAAGGAAGAAGATTAAAGAGAATAACTCACAACTTACAAATTCATTAAGCTTCAAAGTAGCAAAACCAAGATGGAAGGGTTTAGCTCCTCATTTGGAGACTAAACATGATGAAAAATATAAAGAAAGAACTTGTCTAAACTGAGCTAAGAAGTATATGTGAATTGGTGATTTTATTGTGAAGGAAAGGGGTGTATTTATAGGCTTTTGGGAGCTGCAGGGTCTGATACCCGACCGGGTATATAGGATACCCAACCGGGTATCTCAGGAAATTGCCCAGAAAGTCATTTTTCTGGGCATACCCGATCGGGTAAGGGTATATACCCGATCGGGTATGTGACAAATCTTTACGAAAGTTTGCTCCCACGATCATTTGTCTTCGGATTTGATTTGGACAGTCGAATCAAGCAATTACCCGATCGGGTATAGGCAATACCCGACCGGGTACATGAGTATTTTTTCCAAATCGAAATCTTTCTTGTCTCTTTGCACTTTCCTTGATCTTTTAAGGTCCAATCTTGATCCCTTAGATGATCTTTGACCTGTTTAGCTCAGAAAAATCCTAATCTAACTAAATTACAAATAAAAATGAAAATAAAGTATTACACCAAAAGTGTGTAATTTCCACAACTAGAACTAATAAAAACTAGTTAAAAATACAAACATACACTCGGAAATTACACGAATATCAATGATATAAAAAGTTAAATCAATTTTAAACTAAAAGCATTTTATATTATTTGAGCTTTTATTTTTACCTACTTTTTTGGTAAGTAGCAACCTCCAACCGTTAGTGTTATAGAATTACACTAGGGTCCTTTATAAGTTCCACACCTCCGTTTCCAATTGAATGAGATAGGTTAATATGTGATCATGTCTATGTTTGTATTGTGAAGCAATTACTTAATAGCCAACCATTTGATGAGATGGTGGGTTAGGATGTGTTCTCATTTCTCACAATAAGGTGTGTTCTCATTAGAACCACTCCCTATATATATATATATATATATATATATATATATATATATATATATATATATACTCTTAAAAATATAGGAACTGATGATTTTGTTGGGAAGAAAAAGAGGTGTATTTATAGCTAGATGTTTGGACGTGGCAGGGCTTGGTACCCGATCGGGTACATAGGATGTCTGATCAGGAATTTGAGGCAGTTTCCCGGAAAGTTACTTTTATGGGCATATCCAGTCGCAGGGGCGGACCTATGGTATAAGGAGGGTAAGCATTGGCTTCACCTCAAAAAATGCTACTAGCCTAGGTGGTAGTAGTATAAAAATTAAAGTCCCATTACGCATCAGGTTAGGAGTTCAAATCCTCCTTGTAGGCTGCATTCATTTTTTTTGTAATACCTCTCAACGACGGCAGATTATACCGTACGACCAGCATACCATGTGCATGGTATGTCTGGTCAAATACGGCATCGCTTTGGGATAAAAAGTGAGGAGAGAACTTGCACCCCTCCCGTTTGCCATCGCTCTTCTCTTCTCTTTATTTGCCTTCGTGAAGAAGCTTGAAACGATTATGAAAATCAGATCTAGCCTATCGTGACCATGATTTTTCCATCTTCGTAGGCTGCGAGATCCAGATCTGGACTTCGTTTGATTCTCCATGTGTGCAGATGGTATTGACTGGTTTGAACGAGAGGTTTCCCCCTTTAGCAGACACGCATATGACTCTATTGATGCACTTTGGTGTTATAGATTTGTTATCTGGCCATACTTGTAGTCTTGCCGGCGAGTTTGCCATTAGTTGCATAGGTTATAGCACTGGTGTTATATTTGGAGTATATGAAGTTAATGAGAATTTACATTTTGATTGTGTTAAGTTACATTTCAATATGCCTAAGTTACATTTCCTTTAACCTGATCTACATCACAATTTGTACCAAGTTACACTTAAATTCATGTGATTTACATTTTGAACTATCAACTTTTCTCAACAAGTTACATCCTATTCACACATGATCGATTTACATTTTACATAAGGCGAGTTACACCGCAATATAACGTGAGTTACACAACATAATAAGTCATTGTTGTTCAAACAATCGAGTTACACCGCAATACAACATGAGTTACACAACATAATAAGCCATTGTTATTCAAAGAGTCAAAGAAAAATCATTTAAAAAATCATTTTTATAGCCCTCATATTATAAACAAAACATGTGCACTATTTATGTAAAATAATTGGACAATTAGACTCCTTTTTTTCCATTAAACATGAGTTACATTTATGGGCACAAGTTACATTTGTTGTTAACTGATGTTACATTTGTAACAACACGAGTTACATCTAATTATGCACAAGTTACATCATTCATGCTCCTGGGATGAAAATAAAAAATAAAGTTACTGTACACGTGTGCACTGTTCACGCGTGTGCACTGTTCATCGTTTTGAGTGTGGGAGCACGGTGCTCACCGTGGTGTGGTACCATGGTATACAGACTGCTGACTCAAGGTTTTATTATACACTCTTGTTCTAAAGATTTTTGTTCAACTTATCATTGCTTTTTTGTTTCTCAAAATTTTGATTTTGACACCCGAATCAACTCAATACCCAACTAAAAATGCATAAGGCCTCTGCAAGTACCGGGGACGGAGCTCCACTCTCTATTTGTCAGATTGTGATTATAGTCCAATTTACATCCTCCTATCGTGCCGTCCAGTCGGTGTTGGGGGCCCTCAGGGATGGGGTGTCATCCTTTTTATATATGAACTATTTTTTCAATTTTCTTGTTGTCTTGTCTCTTTGCACTTTCCTTGATCTTTTAGGGTCCAATCTTGGTTCTTGGATGATTTTTACCTGTTTTAAGCTCAGAATAATCCTAAAAACAAATTACAACTATCTAGAAAAATAAAGTAGTTACTCCAAAAGTGTGTGATTTCGACAATAACATACAATGAAACTAATTAAAAATGCAACTATACATAATAAAATATAACAATATCAAGGATGAAGGCCACATAAATTATTACGTAGTATGAAATAAAAAGAAAAAGTAATTCAAAAGGAAAATAGAAAAAAACGGACTTAGTAGGTCATATAATGGTCAGGCATTACGTAATTGTCGATATCTACGGCACGCAGTTTGCGTAATTCGCTCGTAGTCTTATTTTACGTTCATAAAAAATGGCTATGTATTATTTCGTTTATATATATAATTCTCTTGCCCGACCACCACTCATCAGCTTATTATCTGTTCTGCTGGGGATAATGAGGATGGCTCAAAGGAGGCTATCGGCAGTACTATTGTACTGGGTTGATACTTGTGCTTCTCTTCTGCTTTTTTGCTTCTTTCTTCAAATTCCTCTTGTCTCTAGTAATGCTGAAGGTACTTGAATTGTTTAAACATGTCTACATCACTATATTAATTCTACAAGCTCTTTTAATTACTTTGTTAACTGGAGGTTTCATGTCCAAATTGTTTATGAATTTTGAGCATATATATAGTATACAGTATACTCCCTCCTTACATTTTTATGTAAGGTTCGTAGAGTTTTGTTTTGACTTTTAAAATATGCACTCAGTTCATGTTAAATCAAGCAAAAAGTGAACAAAGAGTAAGTGTACTTTTGATTTCTGGATTAAAAGTGGTCTTCTTTTATAGAAATGAGAAATTATTTTTGGAACATTCATAAAAAGCAAGCGAGGATTTCTTTTCATCAGGACCGACCGACCGAGGTAGTATTAATATTATCTTGGACAGAAATTTGATGTTAGCGGCAATGTCTTATCCAGCTACTTTTAAATACTTCGTAATTGTTTACCGATTAATAGTGTCCCTTGTATGGAAATAAATATTCATGATGCAACTTTTAGTTTATTAAAATTATGTAATATAAAGATGAATCAAATTAGGGTAGAGAATTGTGTGAATCTAATTACCTTAAGCGGCAAATATACGAGTATTATAAAAGGAGAGTAATTTGCAGTATATGTATGTGTTTGCGAAATTCAATTGCAATTTTTTTAAATTATTTCATTTTTAAATTAATTTTTTTGATTATATCTATCAAAGCTAGTATAAGGATGTTTTTTATTTGGATTGAATTTTTTTGGTTTGATTTGGTCTGAACTGGTCAGGTTTGACTTGGTCTAGTAATGTCTGATCTCCGTATATTTTATAATTGTTGAAGTATGGTCTGATCAGGTCTAGGAGTAGACTATGTCCGTAAAAACATCCTAAATCCTTGAAACTCGAATAATAATAAAAAAAACTATTCGACTTTATTTTAGACAAATTTCAAGCTCTAAAGTCGTTAGAGTCTAATACCCCAAAAGCAATATGGGTTGTTGAACTCAGAACCCTCACCCCTTTGGTAAAGCAGCACAGAAATTGCACGGGATAACTTTCAATCTAATTATATTATAAAACTTGCACACCATGATTGTTGGGTGTCGATTTCTTTCCGGCTCAGGTCTCCAACCCTTTTGCTATACTCTCACACACCACTCTAGGCTAGACCACAACACAACTCCAAGCTTCTTCTCTACCACTAAGGTATTCTCTCACACACTCTCACACAAAGGAAATGGAGAAGAAGAAGGGCACTGCTCTCTCTAAGATTCACGCAGGCTGCTTCAACAAGGGAGAAGCAAAGCTACTAAATAATAGGCTGGTAGACACAAGGACACTCACATGTGATGCAAAGACAAGGAGGGCAGCACAGGACAGCTCAAAGGGGTCACTCCACATAAGTCAAAATGGCCATATTATTGGTTAGGAGAGATTCAAATAAAGAGGTGCCAAAGTGGGAGTAAACATGGGGTGCAAGTCAATAATAAAGTGGAAGGGAGGCCTTGGTAGGACCAATACCTCCAACATTCTCCACCTTATTGGTCCTAGGTGGTGTAGAGTAGCAATACAAAGTTGTGAGGAGACTCATCATCGCCGGATTATTACAAGTACATCATTGCGATCATACAAGTAATAGATGAGAACCAAAGTTCCCTTTCGGACCAAGCTTACCGTGCAAACCCACTTCACGATGGACTGAACTCTACCAATCGGTCCTCGAGTTCAGAACCAAAACCATCACAAAACTATTAACAAGCACAACACATGTTAATAGACCACGCAAGCAAGCATCCGGGAGAAGTTGGGGATTCCAACTAATCCAACAACCACACAAAGCAAGTACACAGAAAATAAAAGAAACAATATTATTTCTATAACTAGCACAGGTAGAGCTCACATAATCACTTGGTATCACATTTTCAAAACACAAAGAAAATAGCATACCAAATATCACAAAGATTTTAATTAAAAGAGAATTAAACACATTTAAAGCAGACTCAGAGGAAATATAGTCAAACACATTGCACATATAATTTCTCACATGCTTTCTAATGTCTCTATCTCTAATAACATGGCAATCACGCAACTCAAGCATATTGCACACAACATTCATATCATGCTCCACCTTAATAGAAATATTATTTTCTTTATTTTCACAATGAAAAACATTTTCATTCACAAATTTGGGTTTGGTTTCAACAAATAAATCAGAATGAACATCAGGCAAATGAGATTCAACAGGCAAATGCTCCACCTCATTTGGAGCAACATCAGGAGAAACAAGCAGGCAAGGAAATTCATTTTCAACAAAAATGACATTTCTACTCATCAACACATTGAAGCAAGTTTCACTCCTACACCAAAGCCTATAACCTTTCATGCAATCATGATATCCTAAGAAAACATATTCCTTAGTCCTAGGTTCAGATTTATCATTCACACGATTCACATAAGCAGCACAACCAAACACTCTCAAATTTGGCAAATTAAGTGGTTTGCCCATGAACACAGATTCAGGGCATTTCCCTCCTAAGGGAACAGACGGGGACAGATTAATCAAATCAACAGCATAACAAATAGCTTCCCCCCAGAACTTATTAGAGAGCCCAGATGAGGCTAACATAGCCCTCACCCTCTCTAATAAAGTTCTAACCATCCTCTCAGCAACCCCATCCGGTTGGGGTGTGGAGGGAACAGATTTATGCATAGAAATACCCCAAGTATCACATAAATCACCGAGCTGACTATCACAGAAATCAAAACTGACAGTGGTCCTTAAAAAATTAATTTTCTTACCGGTTTGTTTTTCAACAAGGGTTTTCCAGTTTTTAAACTTATCAAAAACTTCAGATTTATTCTCAATCAACAAAACCCACACTTTCTTTGAAAAATCATCAATCAGTGTCAGAAAATAATTTTTCCCACCATGAGTGGAAACACCATAAGGACCCCACAAGTCAGCATGAATACAATCAAGCACATTAGTACACTTAGGCAGATCAGGAAAACCAACTCTAGACTGTTTTCCTAGCACACAGGGTTGCACACAATTCACAGAATCAAGTAGGGGTTCAGCATGACAAACATACAAGTTGTTTTTCATCTCAGCTTTGAAAACAACTAAACAACCCTTCACAACTTTCATGATTCCCTTTCCCCATTTTCCCTTCAAACCCTCATTTTCAAGAGAAGCACAAGATAGCAAATTACAGCATAGCTCAGGAACATGCCTAACATTCTTCAAAGTAAGCACATAACCAGAAGAAAACCTAAGGCATACATTTCCTATTCCTAGCACATTGCATTTCTTCTTATTTGCTAAAGACACAAAGCCATGCTCAATTTCTCTATAGTTTGAAAAAACATTTTTCAAAGGGGACATGTGAAAACTACAACCAGAATCTACCACCCAATCTGATTTACCCAAAGAATCAGATATCACAGAACTCAAATAGTCATAATCACATAGATTTTTCATCATAAGCACATCACCTAAATCATCTACACACGTAGTCAAATTAGCATGCTCACTATGCTCATTTTTCTTAGATTTAGGACAGTCTCTTATGAAATGACCAGGTTCATGACAATAATAGCAACGCCTCGAATTAGACCTAGACTTAGATCTATGTCGTCTACTATTATTTTCTCTACCCCTCACATGCAAAACTTCCTCGGATTTTCTACCCTCACCCATCTGTTTTAAATCTAATTCCTTACTCTTAAGACCATTAACCACAATGTCAAGAGTCACATTATCTCTACCATACTTAATAGCAGATTTCACATCACTAAAGGAATCAGGAATAGCATTTAAAAGAGCAATAGGGGAATAATCATCTATATGCTTATCACCACACAACTTAATATCCGAAATAAGTTTGGTAAAAACATCTAGATTTTCTTCAATATCTATAGACATATCTAGTCTAAATTTGAAGAACTTTTCAAGTAAAAATATCCGGTTAGGCAAAGAGGTCTCAGTATACAGTTCATTTAATTTATTCCAAAGAATTTTAGCACTCTCTAAAATTCCAACTTTTCTAATCACAGAGTCAGATAAGTTCAAATAAATCACAGAACATGCATTTTCATTCATTTCAGCCCTTTTCTCTTCTGTGTCAGAAATTAAATAGGTTTCGCCAACTGCTTTAAAACATTTTTGTTGTATTAAAATACATTTAATTTTTTGCTTCCAAATGCTAAAATCAGATTTTCCATTAAATGGAGCCATACCATACTGATTATAAGCAGACATTTTCACAGAGAAAAATAAGCAACAAAAGAAAATGTAAATTTCGCTGAAAACAATTTAAATATTTATAAGGCTACAACTATACGGAGCAACTAGCACGAACACGTGGGGAGTATTAATGAGCACCAAACTCAATTTCAAACCCCTTGTTCTTCCGTATAAGCACAAATAAATAATAAATTTTCAGCACAAAACAACACAACAGTTCAATCAATTTTAACAGCAATTATAAACCTAAAAATATAATTTATACACAATAAAAGATTAAATCACTACAAAAGCGATAAAAGGGATAAAAGTCAATATACCGGAGCGAAACCCTAGGAGAGGCGTTTCGACCTTACCCACCCAATTAAAATTGGGATTTTTCGGAATGTTGACTGCCTTTGACTAGCGTTGACCGAGCTTTGACCAAACAGTTGACCGAGACTCTACTGTGCTCCACGTCCAGCCTCAAAGTCCAGCTCAGATTGAAAAGCAGCAACACGTGACCAGCCCAGCAAGGATGCGACCCAACAAGACAGCAACCTGCCTAATCTTCTACTCTTCAGAAGCGGTCCAGGATGCTTCGTCTTCAACCTTCGTCCAACTTCAGCAACAACCCTTGACCAGCGACTCAAGAGGCGAGCCTTCCTTCGAACGGAGAAACAACAGGGATGGCCGGCGACCTCCACGGCCTTCAAATCAACGGCGGCAGGTGACGGCGTAGCTCCAGCGGCTTCCAGGAGACGGCTCACTTCCAGGCAGCGATGAGCAGGACAGAACTCCGGCGATGGTTCTCAGGCGGGCGGCTCCAGCGACGACTTCCGGCGAGCGGTCCCAGCTCCCAGAGGATGCTTCGTCCCTGTCCTCTGCTTCTGCGGCCACACCAGTTCCAGCAGTCTTGCTCTAGCTTCACGACTGCGTCTGTGCTGCTACAGGAACACCTGAAGTTCCGTTTCAGGCCTTCACGCTCCAGTGATTCGCGAGGCTTCCAGATCCGGCCTCGAGCTCAGCAAACCACGGCGAGCTCTCTCTCCGGCGACGACTCCCTGCAGCGGCGCTCGACCACCTCCAGTGATTTCCGGCGAGAACGATTTCAACACCAACCTTCAGCTTCTGGACGGCGATTCAGCATCAAGCGGCAATTGAACTTCTTGGGACAGTTCTTCAGACCTCGAATCGAAGAACGAGCAGGCGTCCTTCCAAACCTTGAATCGTCGACGGACGGCGGCGGACGGCGGCGGACGGCGGAGGACGGCGGCGGAGACTTTTCAGACGGCGGAACTCGGCGAAATCGACGGCGACGACAACCTGTCTCTGATACCACTGTTGGGTGTCGATTTCTTTCCGGCTCAGGTCTCCAACCCTTTTGCTATACTCTCACACACCACTCTAGGCTAGACCACAACACAACTCCAAGCTTCTTCTCTACCACTAAGGTATTCTCTCACACACTCTCACACAAAGGAAATGGAGAAGAAGAAGGGCACTGCTCTCTCTAAGATTCACGCAGGCTGCTTCAACAAGGGAGAAGCAAAGCTACTAAATAATAGGCTGGTAGACACAAGGACACTCACATGTGATGCAAAGACAAGGAGGGCAGCACAGGACAGCTCAAAGGGGTCACTCCACATAAGTCAAAATGGCCATATTATTGGTTAGGAGAGATTCAAATAAAGAGGTGCCAAAGTGGGAGTAAACATGGGGTGCAAGTCAATAATAAAGTGGAAGGGAGGCCTTGGTAGGACCAATACCTCCAACAATGATAATTTAAATTTAACTTGCACTTGTGTTATACTCCCCCCAATTTTTAATAAACTTCACACTTTCCTTTTTGAGACGGTCTAAAATAAACTTCACACGTCCTTATTTCCTTTTTTGGCAAAGAAATCTACATCAAAACAGTGCTAAACAGTGCCAAACAGTGTCTCAACAGTGCCAAACAGTGTCTCTACAGTGTCAAACAGGGTCAAACAGTGCCTCAACAGTGTACTCTACAGTAAAGTCAAATTTCTTTCTTTATTTTGTGTGAATCAAAGTGTGAAGATTAAATAAAACCGGAGGGAGTAACTAACTGTCGTTAAGTACTTAAAAATGTTCTTGCATGGCTTGAAATGTTTTGGTCTGGTGTCTGAGCCGTCCACATGGCCTTGACAGCTAGAGCTAGGGCACCAATTTTAGAGTAAAATTGATAAAAATGGTGTGATTATTAAGAAAAGTGGATTTACGTGGTTAATATTGAATTGATAAAGTAAGAATAAAATAAATATGATTTAGATCCACACAAATTTAACCAAATTTGATATAAGACAATTTTAGTGGGACAAACCGAAATAGAAAGATGAGACAATCTTAACGGGACGAAAAGAGTATATTCTATCTATTGTTACTATTTTCATATCTTCATGTTCATGTCTCAAATATTAGTAGTTATATTTATTTTTAAACAAAATTTTGATTTCTCTATGTGTATTTTTATTAAAATCTGTGTAGCTTTTTTCTACTCTTTATCAAAAATCTGTGTATTTCTATCAAAATTTTTAAACAAAATTTTGATTTCATGTATATTTTTAAAAAATATTTCTGGTAGTTCTTAATTAAAAAAGTTGTGTTATAAATTTGTTCTAGGAGTTACTCTTTATCAAATCTATTCTGAAACATGTTCTTTTTAAATTATTTTACTAACTTTTGATTTGTACGGAGTAATATAATAATTAGTAATAAATTATTATTTTCTACTACCTCCGTCCCACTAATATTGGGACAGAAAGGGATGACACGGTTATTAAGAAAATGAGTTTATGTAGTTGATATTAATTAATAAAGTAATAGTAATGTAAGAATGATTTAGAGTCACACAAACTCTACTAACTTTGAGACATTTTTAGTGGAAGTTTCCGAAAATGTAAAATGAGATAGTATTAGCGGAATAGAGGGAATAGTTTACTATGATGAGAAAAAAATCAAGTTATGTAATCTTTTGTGGATTCTACTGATAGGTAGGAGAAAATATATTACTACGTTTTATTTATTAATGGATTAATATTTTTTTATGAAAAAAATATTGTTAAGTTTGTCTCATTGTAAATTTTCAAAATCTATTTTTTTAATTTTTTTACTAATACAAAATTATATATATTAATGGTCAAAGTTGTGTCTCGGCAAGTGTGAAACGTTGACCGTTGCATTTATTTAAGAACGGAGGAAGTATTTTCCTTTAGCTTCAAACAAAATATTTACATCTCGGGAATGAAACTCCTAAAGACAGGCCTGTCTGTACTGTCTGGTATGATTTCCTCAAGTATTGTACTGTCTGGTCTGAATTGGTCCGATAGGATGATACGATAGATGTCTGGGTCTGTGTATATTTTACAATTATCAAAGTCTGTTCTGATTTGAACTAATCTGTTAAAGTTTGATCATATTTATTTAAGTCGGATCTGATTTGTTCAAGTATGGTTTGGTCTAGGACAGAAACCAATTCAAATAAAAACATCCTTAGTTCTTATTGTAAACCTGACCGTACGTCAGATAATTTTTGGTAATCATAAATTTTAATTCGAAAGTATTTCATATATATTACCATGAAAAGGAGTTTTTTTTTTAAAGACCATGAAAAAGAGTTAGTGGACTAAGAATTGCATGTATTAAAAATGTTAGAAAAAATCTCCACAATGGAGTAGGAACAACCTATAACAATAAGCCCAATGGACCATAAAAAGGTATTGATAGAACAAAAAATAATTTGTAGAACATCATCATATAATTGAGATTCGCTGAAACTTATTTAAAAAAAAAAAACTAATTAGCTATAGCTAGTCAATTATTCAAAAACTAATTTAAGATCGATTAAAATTAAATCGAAGAGATTCCCTGTAATTCTTAGGTCGTGCGGCATTGGTGTGGGAGGGTCATTTAATTCTAGTTGGTATGTTTTTGTTGTAGTTTTTTAGCCGGACTTTGTTTTGCTTGTTTTTTCCAGTTTTCTTAAGAAAAAGGAGATTAGGGTGGGTGACGAGAAGTTTTTTCGACCCCTTTTGGCTCACTTGTGTGCGTTTTGAGATGGGTGAGGTATATTGTTATTTAGAAGGTAATCAAGGATGTTTTGTTTTGGACTAAAATTTGCTAATCTGATCTAGTATAGTCTGACCTAATTAAGTCTGGTCTGATCTGGTCAAGTCGGAACTTGTCGGGTGTGGTCTACTAAATATCGAATCTCTATTTATTTTATAACTATCCAAATCTAGTATGGTTTGGTATAGTGTGGTCTGATCTGGGACTGAAAACAGTCCAAAAGAAAACATACTAACTCCAACTCTAACTCAAGGGTGAAAAAAACACGGTGTGACTTTTTGTCTTGATATAACTAGCTTGGGTTCTGATGTAATGTAAAGACATGTTATTGACCAAAATACATACTCCATCATGGGCCATACCCCATGTTAGACGGATCCGGAGCCTCTACCTTACTTTAGAGTAAGGTAGAGTGTCGTGCTTCCTCCCGGTCGTCCGATCGACAATTCAACGGTCAGAGATCATGGACTCCACTTTTTCGCCGATCTCGAGGCCGTGTTGGCCGCTTCCCTCCCGTCCGATGCGCAAGGCACCCTCCTAGTCGGGTAGAGGATCCCAATCCATGTTGGACATGAGCATCACATATACTTTGCTCCATGCATGAATAAAAACTCAAATTAAAATAATGTGATATAAGATGTTTATTTTTATGTGGACTAATTTCACTTCAGAGTTCAGACTAGGAAGAATGGATGTGCCAATGATTCCAACTGATTGTTTGTATGTATGAGTGTATATGACATGCAGGTGATGCTTTAGTAGATGATCTGAAAAATTCCTTATCTGATCCCAACAATTGTTTGCAATCTTGGGACCGAACCCTTGCCACTCCTTGCACATGGTTTCACATTTCCTGCAACAGTAACAACTATGTTACCAGAATGTAAGCATTTTTTCATAAACATAAAAGGGCAAAATATTAAGTTGTAACATTACTTTCCCTCAACGCATTATTATATTTATGTATGTATGTATACACATTATTTTTCAGTGACCTGGGAGGATGTGGCCTAGCCGGCAGCCTTTCCAGCAATCTTGGTGGTGAACTTCCAAAGTTGGAGGTCTTGTAAGTTTTTTGTTTAGCACCACCGCCTGTACTTTAATTTGTCTATATATATTCCAGTGTTTGTTGCCTCTGCTGGGCTATTTAAATTAACCCAAATCTTTCATTCCGGCCTACATTTATTGTTTTTCAGTACGCTTAATAACAACAACTTCACTGGAAGCATCCCCGAGAGTTTCGGCAATTTCCCGAATCTGAAAGAACTGTAAATCTCATTTCCTACCCGTCTTTCGCTTCGTCTATTTTAGTTCAACTTTTATATTTACCAAGTACATACTGTCTGACTTGAGGGTTGTATATATTACTTCAATGTCGGAGTTCTTAATTAGGATTTTCATTAGTGAGATTTATCTTAATACGACTAATACATGGTTTTTCCCAAAATAGGGACCAATTAGTTTAAACATACTTAAATAAGACTTTTTGTTTAGTATTCACCAAACAATACTTTTTCTTTTTCTTTTTTTATTTTGCTCAAAGATATAAGCTACTTGAAAATAAAGATAAAAATCACACCTATATTCATATACTTCCTCCGTTCTTAAATAAGTGCAACACTTTCCTTTTTCGGAAGTTTCAAATTAAATGCAACCTTTCTATTTTGGGAAAGAAACATTAGGCAAATTTCCTTCTATACCCTTAATTGTTTACGCACTCTCCGATCTTTACCTACTTTATCTGACACTTTCTTCTACCTTCTCCGCTCACCGCCATCCACCAATTCCAATTTCATCCTGCTTACAGCCTCTCCATCTTCCGTTTTATCTTTTCATCTGCTCACCCAACCAAAATTACTTTCATCTTCCCACCATCATCTACTTTCATCACCAACTCAACCATTTCTCTAATTCTTTTCGTATCATCTTCATCTTTAATTTTTTTCCCTCTGGTTTGTATTTTAGTTACCGTCGAAATGGAAGACATGCATGTCGATGAAACCGATTTTGCTCCTGTTACGAGAATATGCTTGAGGCTTTGTGAATTAATGCTTTGGTTAATTATGAGGGGCCATGGATTCTGATTCGACTTGGAATTATTGTTTGTAGCCGATAGACTATTTCAGCACTTGAAGAATTACCAGTACTTCGCCGGACGGCCGGACCTGTAACCGAAAATCATCTTACCTCTCGTTTCTCACTTCTCAGCACCGACCCTCTTGTTGTTCTTGCTTGAGGATTTTTTTTTGGACTTTGGGTTATTTCATCGCAAGTAGACTGTTGTCCACTATTACACACTGTAGCAATTTATTTGGGTAGCTGTGGTTTCCGTATAATGAAGGGTAAAAGTGACAAGTTCAACACTAATTCATTGCCTCTTAAAATCCGTGCCCAAGTGCATGTTGCACTTAAAATCGAACAGAGGAAGTATACTCTTAAATGTTATTACGGAGTACTCCTATTATTTAATTTCGAGAAAAGGGTCAAATAAGCCCATTTACTAATATGGGAACATCACCTAAACACTTTTACTTAAAAAAAACATTATCCAAACCTCCTTACTACCAATTAAACAAAAATAATCCCTACTTTAAACTTTAACACTAATAATCCAAACTTTCAATAAGGGTCACAAAAATATACTCCGTTAAATCCATTATCTCTTTAGTCTCATTCTTAATCTTCTCTTCCGTTAACCATCTGAATAAGAGCTTCCACTAACAAGGAAGAAGTCATAAGTAGTCCAGGTTAGGCTTTGGTCCATGTTAGGCTTTAGTCCAGGTTATTTTTCCGCATCCTCTCTTTCTTCTTAAATATCGGAACAAGGATCTTAATGATAAACTAATAAAGAGTATTAGCACCGAAACTTTGCAGAAAGATTCCATGCACTATTTATTTGTGAATATAATTCTTGATAGATAAGAGATTGAATTTTCATAAATATATGCTGGTGCGGTACCCACTACTTTTGTTTGACTTAATTTGAAAAAAATGGTTCGCTGCACTTTGAATGATAAGTTTGAGGATACTTCTCCAACTGATAAATCGGAGGGTAGTGTATGTGTGGGTATGAACCAGTTGAACATTTACTTTAACTAATGAATTTCAAATAAGAGGGGCTATTCACTAAGAACACGAAGAAGTATGTAGATCTCCGTGTTGTCGGATTCACTGGGGACTTGGGGGTGTACGTATGTAAAAGAAACGGCAGTTTAGACGGAAATAGACTTCCGTTTCTTTTATTCTATTTCCAGCACTCAAATGTGAGGTTTGGATTAATGGCGTAAATATTTGAAGTAAGGATTATTTTTGTTTAATTGGTAAAAGTATGGATTATTTTTATCAATTTTGCCTTAGAAAAAACAATCAAATGGACCAAGAGACTTCACATCGACTGATCGACTAGTGATAATAGGTTACCATTTATCTTACAGAATATTCCTCGTTGGCCCCTCTCCCCTTTGACCGTTTTACACACCTTCTTTCTTTCATGTGTTCATTCTCTTTCAATTTGTATTTGCATTAATTTTGATTAATTTAGGATCTTCATTTATTCCCTCCTTTTCATATATTCCTCCTCTTTATTTTGGTTTTTATTTTTTTTATTTTTATTTATCATCTCCCTTCAATTTTTATCTCTCTTGTGTTTGGATCCTCATCCCTCATCTCCCTTCAGTTTTCATTTTTTATTTTTTCTTTTCATGTTCATTTTTGTTTTATTGAGTATGAAATTAGAAAAGTAAAATTTATGTGGTTGAGGTTTATACAAAAAAAAGAAAAAAATGAAAAGAGTCACAAATTCATTACTTTAAAAGGAAAGTGACAAAGTCCAATGTAACGGAGGGGTATGTGTTTGTGTTGTTAAACATCATCAGTGGTACTGCATGCACCCTTCGAATGATGTGATTTTGACATCAATATTTAGAGTCCGTTTGGTGACTCTGTTTTTCGGCTTATTAGGCTTATTAACCAACTTATACCAAACACATATAACTTTTGATTTTACGCGCTAACTTCTGTAATAATAATAATAATAAGAAAAAGTAAGGTTGAAGTTACTTTTCTGACTGTATTGGCTGAAGTTACTGTAGATGACCATTTTAGCTATTTTATATAATTGTTTCTTTATTTTATTAATAAAATATATTTGAAGTATAATTTTTTCATAAAACAACATAATCAGCCAATACAGCCATTTCAGCTAGAACTTCATATCTTTCATCAGAATCAACCGATTAAGCTGATTCCAGTGTTACTAACCAGGCTCTTATAGTTACGTGTGTAAATCAATATATGTAAGAAAGAGGAAAATAAACAAAAGTCGGGCCGTAGACACGGTTGTAACAAAAAAAAACTTGGAATAATGACACAAATATTGTTGGAAAATGTGTTAAAAATTGAATTAAATGGTCAATTTGGGACAATATTTTGAGTGTGGTCCACTTCCGATTTGGATCGGGTCAAAGTGGTTTCGGATTGTTCTTGTTAAGGACTACAATTTGATATGTGATACACTCAAAACAAATAACGGGTGAATGAGAAATTGATTCTCGAAGTTCACTCGTTGAAATGGAAAAATTGGGAAAAAGATGGGTTCCTAGTGTCATTTATCCCACACCGGAAAACCCGAGGGATTTTGAACCCCTTATAAAGGGAACCGTCTTTGAAAGAGTTAAGATTCCTAAGTGAAAAGGCTCTCTTTGCGCGCACGGGGGGGGGGGGGGGGGGGGGTGCGAATCAAATCTTGAAAACGGAGAAGAAAACCCGTGACTTGCGTGCGCGGACGACCAAAAAGACCTCTGCTCCGCAACAGAACTGCTCCGACCAGAAGTCGTTTGATACGTTACAGCAGCTAATGAGCTTCTTTAAAAGGACAGTTTTCAACATACTAATGCCCAACATGCTGGTCCATTGAAGATCAATTAACACACCACAAATTCATCCCCATCTATAGTTGGCAGGTGCTTTGCAACAAAACACGCAATCATACCCATCTCCGAAAAATGAAGAAAACAGTAACGAGAAAGTACATCGAGAATAAATAGAAAAAGAAAAGCAAAGGAAAGGCAATAGAAACAAAGGTTATTTCAAAAAAAAAAAAAGGTAAAGCCTAACAATGACCTCTATTGTAGGTTATATAGAGGTCATTAGACATGTTTGATTGTTTTTCAGTAGTACATGTATCTGTGTGATTGTTTTTTAAGAGTAAACTGGTTTATTTGACCCTTTTCTCTTTAATATTTATTACATAAGAAAGTTAATTGATCAGTCATAATATATTACTACATGTGATAATTGTATCATTCATGCATGTTAATATGTAACGTGTATGTGTATTTTTTACACACACAAATACAATATTACTTATGATATTTAAACAAAATATTGATAAAAAATATAATTTCTATTTCTCCGACTAGTCCCCTCCTAGTCACTAGGCACTAGGCTGGTGTCTGACTAGCGCCTAGCCTTTTTAGTACGTACATTGACCGCACTTACTGTATCGAAAAATAATGAATTTACCGAAATGTTTTGTATACCAATACTTACGGTTCGGTATGGTACCGTACCGGATTACTTCAGTACAATATCAGTATATATCTTGAAAATAAACAGTATACCGTCATACCAAAAGTCCAAGCTAATAATTTTTTTGAAATTATAAATCCGACTAGAAACACAAGTTATGGATAAATGACTTTATATCCATGTTTTTTGAATTATTTATATTTTTTGTTGGAGATCACTATTTTCTTTATATCTATGTTGTTTAAATTATTTTAGAAGAATGTGTTGTTATGTTCATATATCAAGTTTTGAAATATATATGGAAGCATATTTATAAGTGGGAAATAATTTAAATACCTCAAACTTTGAAGAGGTGTGAGGTAAGCACCCCAAACTTACATATGTAATATATATCCCGCACTTTACATAAAAAGTTATGTTATCACCATTACTATATATTGTTTTATTAAAAAATGAAAACCTATGGGGTTAAGCACGTGATTTAAAATACTTAAACATGTATAGAGGTGTAGTCAAAGCTTTAAAAGTTAACATTGTGAAAGAAAAAAACATATGTTCATGGTACAGATATTATTCCCTGTCTCATTTTACATGTTCTACTTTTGTTTTTGAATTGTCCCAAAATAAGTGTCATATTTCCTCTTTTGGAAGGAAACATGTGGTCTATAGCATTTCACTTTATTATACTCAAATTTCAACCACAACTTTTACTTTATGAACCACTTTATTAGTAATTGTGCCAAGTTAAAGTGAGACACTTAAAATGGGACGGATCACACTACAAAAAACATGGGATTGGCAAGAATATTTGGCAGGGATTCCCCAAAATTGGCAGTGATTTTGGCATGGATATGCCAAAACTGTGCCAAAAGCAGTTTGGCACGAGCTATTTGACCCAAAATCATCGGTAAATCTGTGTCAATTCCGGAGGTAATACTTTTTATATAAAGTTCGGGGTATAAATATTACACATGAAAGTTTGGGGTGCTTATATTGCACCTCTTGAAAGTGTAGGATATTTAAATTATTTTCACCCATTTATAATAATAATTCTTGTTCAAAATTGAATAAAACATCAATAGGTTATCATTAATAATTTATAATTAATCTTATTAATGATTTTAGCATATGACTTCTAAAACCGATTTTTAATATTTCATTGAGAGAATAATTTTTATATTAAAGTTCAAGTAAATCATGATAATTTACTGATATATACCGCACCTTTAGCGTACCGAAATTTCGGTATGCCGGAAATTATATTCATTATGCCGAAAATTCGGTAAGGTAACAGTATGCATTTTTACATACTGAAATTTATAGTCTGGTCTATTTAAGTCTGGTGTAGCCTGGTTTGTTTAAGTCTGGTCTGGTTTGGGCTGAACGGGTCTTGTCTGGTCTGGTTATTGTCTGGTCTTGGTGTATTTTATAACTGTCCAAGTCTATCTGATCTGGTCTATTTAAGTCTTATTTGGTTTGATCTGTTCTGTGACTCATAACAGTCTAAAACAAAACATCCACAATATATGTCATATCACGTATGGAACCACCCCTAAATGGTTAAATCAAACTAACAAATTTAATTTCGAATAGAGTTCTCAGATGAGTTTGATCCTACTTAATTTAGTATTAATGCTAAGCAAATCATTACATCCATTCGTACATGCATATGGTTAATTTAACTTTTATTTATGGTTATGCCAATTATGGGTGATATTTGTTTTTCTATTGGTTGAAATTTGAAGGGACGTTAGCAACAACAATTTGGAAGGCAATATTCCAACATCTTTGTTAAACAGAGGACCTTCATTTAAGTTGTACGTAGTATATTAACGTTTGCTTGTTTGTTTTCTATGTCATGTACATCAAATTATATTCATTACTCTGTATTGTTTGTTATATATGTTTAATCATTCATATATGTATGCAAACAGAAACTACACAAATAATCCCAATCTGGTTGTACCAAGCCAGTATCCAAGCCCAACTCCAGTCATCAGTGGATCCAATTATACGAGGTTTGTTAAAAATATACATTGTACTACGTATTATTTCTTCCCATTGGAATATTTTATCGATAAATGCAGCTCATTTGTAAACTACGTTGTGGCCATATTTATTATACAGCTTTGGTTGGACGATAATTATCACATCACTTAGCCTTGTATGGGTGATGGCAAACACATTGTTCGAGCATTGCATTGGAAGCTCATGAACCTAGCTTGATTATCGTATCATGTGATGAGCTTTTACTCTATATTGTAATAATACTCCCCATTCCTTGATATATGTCAGTATATCGAGTGAACATTCAATATTTTCTATTTTGTATTACTCCTCATTTCTCTCATAAAACTTGTATTTTTTTCTTTGATAACACTCATCAATGTGTCCCATGTCTGTCTTGTTACATCGGATCGAAGACTTATTTCTTTAAAGAAACTTGTTGCCAAAAATGATGTCTGCCAATTTGTTAAGTAATTTTGTTTATTTAAATAGTTAGCTCTACTCCTAACATGTAGGCGCGAATCTATAAATCTAACTTCGCAATGGTCAAAAGTTTCCAAAGGCTATGTTTCCATATTAGCTCGTGTTGGAGGTTAATGTCTGAATTATGGATTAATGCCTGAATTAAAGACTATTGTTTAGAACATAAATTTGAAATGTTGAATTTGAACTAATAACTAATTATAGAGCTGAATTAAATTAAATATGCAATTACATTAGAGGACATACTAGCAATTATAAAATATTATCATAATGATTATATATATTTTACTACGTAATAAATACTCCATGTAATGATTAAAACGACATGTTTTTTGTAGAGGCTTGCATTTTTATATTTTTTTACCTTTTTTATTTTGTTATTTTAATTTTTTTAACTTTTTTATTTTATAATTTTTCTATATCTCTATTTTTTATATTTTATTAATTTTATTTAATATTTATTTTTGTGTTTTCAATTTTTTACATTTATATTATACATAAAGTTATGTTATTACTTTTATGATTTAATTATTAATGAAATAAGAATTGTATTAAAACAGTAAGGGTAGAATTGGAAAACTAGTCCTATTTAGAAAATTTCAAAATTAGTCATATTTTTTGCAATTAAAGTATCATTTAGTCCTATTTAGGGAATTTTTCCTTTACCAATTATTCAAAAATAATTATAGGAATAAAATATACTAGAGAGTATAACATGAGTCAGCTTGGTCTTTAATTATATACGGTTCTTATTATTGTTATATTTTATGGACGAATTGTGTAAATTTTCTTTTGTACGATTAATCAATTTTAATTTAATCAGAACTGAACCAAGCATCATAAATTAGTCACTTGCGGTCCATTTTGTTTCGGCTTTTTTTATTCTGTTTATGTTGATTTCGACCAGTTTTGACATGATGTAGTTGATTATGGTCATTTTGATTGGTTTTTAAATGTACACATAAAAATTGTGAATCAACCGCTTAAAATTAATTCAATTATCATTAGCCTTTTTTTAGTAATCATCGATTTCAACCTCATAAAGAGCTGTGTATACAAAAATATATCTTTGGTGAGAACAACTATTTATAAATATTTTGTTTGGTGTTGATGTTTATGCCGATGTCTCCCGAACATCCAGACATATTAAACATTTTTAGACTATAAATTTAAAACATTGTAAGGGTGTTTGACAATCAATAGTTAGGAGTTAGCAATTAGACTATTGTATATAGCGGATTGCCACTACAAGAAAAAGTATTATTTGCGTCTAAAGTTTTTGTGTCAACATGTGTGGACACAAATGTTTAATCTTTTGCGTCAACACGTGGACGCAAAAAAGCTTATTAAAAATTTTATGAAAAAAATTTCCGAAAAGCACCGAGTTCTCACGCTAATAATACTCTGCTTAGAGTTTTCTAAGCGGTAAAAGAAACTAAAACCCTAGTCATTCTGTGTATCGCTCACTATCGCCGCAAAGAGGAATTTCATCCAAGGGGCGACGGGCTGTCCCCAAGCTATAGAGGCCCTCCGGATCTGGCGAGTCTGCAACAGCGGGATGACGATTGGGAGGATATCACAGGCTTCCATCAGAAAACGCCGAGCACATGGACGTTCAGCGATAGACTTCGTCCATCGCAGGAACACCACCATCGACCAACGATTGGGACAATACTTTGATTTAGGTTGGGAGCCAAGCAGATCAAGCGAGGTTCTAATTGCTCTGAAAGAAGACATTTATTACTCCATCGGAAAAGGCATGAGTTGGCAGCAGTGGCGGACCCAGAAGTTTCCCGAAGCAGGGGCACTCCAACATAGATGAAAATGGGTCGAGTCGGGCCGAATTAGGTGTATCATTGGTCTTTTTTGTTAAGTGTATTCAAATTAATATTTTTAACTGGAAATAGATTATTCAATACCGACGTTAAGCAGTGAATATATATGGATTATAAATCTAATTGTGAACTCATTAAGACAATTTTAAACAATAATATTTGACTTTTGGAAAGAAATACATAATTTGACGGATAAGAAATGGCTCATCTTTGTGCAGTTTATGATTTTACATTAGAATTTTCGCTATTTTTCATACTATAAAATGATCAAGATTTCATATTTGAACTAGGATCATGTCGTTGTTATACATTGTGCCACAAAATTTGTCGGTACTTGAATGAAATATAATACCATCGTGTTAAAAATGAAGTATAAGTCAAGTTTAGGATTTTATCATTTAATACAACTTTATTTATTAATATGATTCTATATATATGTCTACCTTTTACGAGTATCATATTATAGAAAAAATTTAAAGGGTTTGTCAGTTTGAAACTAATTTATCGCGAATTGATACATTCTTTCATGTATGGACTTTTATTCAAGATAAAAGTCTTCAATCTTTTAAGTTTATCCTGCATATTAGAACCTTTTTCATATCTTTGAACTTTTACTTTGGAACAACATTATTCACAACAAGTAAAAAAATCATCAATGTCACTTTTCAAAGAAAGTGCAGTAACCATATAACAACATGTCTAACTATAAGAATTTGCTCCATCACAACTTTAGAGTTGTTTATATTTCTTACTACAATTATTATATGTCTACGGAGTCCTATATTTCTAATAGTTTTTTGAAACAATGACAATATGATTGAAATAAAGATAGTGGACAAAAATACGACTTAGGCACTACCATAGCAATTTTAGTGACCATGATTCTGTTCATTAGTTATATTCCGGTAATATTTATGAAAACTACTCTAATTTTTTGCCTGGATAGCAGGGGCACATTTTTTATCTTAAGTACTAATACTAAACTTTATGGTCGGAAGCCGGGACACTTGCCCCCCTAGGCCCCTCCCTAGGTCCTCCACTGGTTGGCAGCACCCGGTGCACACCTGCGACACTTGAGCAGATCGGCACACTGAAGCAGGTCGAAGAGGTGAGCCATTTTTGGGCGTTCTGCGACCAGAAGAAGAGCGTTACTACAGGAGCTCAGCCACCACAGGTATCTCCTTGAAACTTCAACAATTTACTGATCTGGTACAAAATCAGACTTGTTTTTACCTCCTAATTTTTATCTCCTCCAGTTATCTTCTATGAGTTCATCTATATTGGTTAATTTTCGTTATATATACGATCTCTTAGTTGTGGAAGCAGAGAACTCGCAGCTACTATGCGCAAAGCTCTCGAATAGGTATCATAGATCAGGTATTGCATATTTCATGAGTATAGTCTTAATTCTTATAGTTTTAGAATGTGCTATTACAATTATGGATTGACGATTAAAATACATACATATATATATATATAGAGTAATGATCCGGTCAGGAGTTCCTGACCGGAACCGCCGTCCGGACCGCGGCGTTTGGCCGCCTTCCCGGTGGCCTTTTTTGATGAAATTTTTATGACATGTTCTCCATCAAGTCTAGTTTATCCACAAAAAACCTAGCTCATCCAAAAACTTAATCGGGAAGGTCCTCAAATGATTTTTGCAAGTTAACTGGTCCGGAAAATACATATTCTGGACCAGTTAACTTGCAAAAATTATTTGACGACCTTCCCAATTGAGTTTTTGGCTGAATTTGTTTTTGGATAAACAAGACTTGATGGAGAACATGTGATAAAAATTTCATCAAAAAAATTTACCCGGAAGGCGGCCAAACGCCGCGGTCCGGACGGCGGTTCCGGTCAGGAACTCCTGGGATGAACATTTGTGTGTGTGTGTATATATATACACATATATGTAATTTAAAAACACATGTAAGGTAGTATGTTAATTTTAAGACCTAACTTTACTTTGCTTATAATGTTGCAATAGTCATATTATTAGTAGGAATCCATAAATAAATTTATTTGTAGGAATCTTAGAGTCATCGGGTAGTTATTAATATTAAAGAATTCTAAAACAGTTCGTACATATGATAAAACAGAAAAAGCTACTTAAACATCCTTTAATTCATTTACTACCCTTAGACCTTGGTGAGAATTTTTGGTATTTTTTGCAAAAGTTGCATTACCGTTTAGGATGTTTTTACTTGGACTAAAATTTGTTGGTCTTAACTGGTCTGGTAAATGTCTGGTATTTGTGTATTTTGTATCTATCAGGGCCTGGATCTGGTCTAGCTAGAACTGAAAACAGCCTAAGTAAAAACATCCTTACTTCAAGGGTCCGCAAATTCAGTGCGGAATCTATAATAATATAAAGTAACAAGGTGTAGCATCTTGCTTTTCACTCCTATTAGACATTTAATGTTTCATACCCATTAAAAAATAAGAGTTACATGAATATTGGAGTAATTGGAATATTTTCAATTCAAAATCTATCTATCTATAATAATATAAAGTAACAAGGTGTAGGACCTTTCTTTTCCCTCCAATTAGACATTTAATGCTTCATACCCATTAAAAAATAAGAGTTACATGAATATCGGAGTAATTGGAATATTTTCAATTCAAAATAATAATAATAATAATAATAATCTATAATAGTATAAAGTTTATCTATAATAATATAAAGTAACAAGGTGTAGGACCTTTCTTTCCCTTCAATTAGACATTTAATGTTTCATATCCATTAAAAAATAAGAGTTACGTGAATATTGGAGTAATTGGAATATTTTCAATTCAAAATTTATCTATCTATAATAATATAAAGAGAATTCCCTAAATAGGAGTAAAAATGTTTTGGAATTCCAAAATAGGAGTATCATGTTTTTTATTCCCTAAATATGAGTAAATTTCTGCCAAGTTTGGAAATTACAAGGCTTTAAACATGACATTTTTTCCAAACTTGGCAGATTACTCTTATTCACGGAATAAAAAAACATGATACTCCTATTTTGGAATTTCGAAACGTCTTTACTCCTATTTAGGGCAATTTCTGTAATATAAAGTAACAAGGTGTGGCACCTTGCTTTTCCCCCAATTAGACATTTAATGCTTCATACCC